ATAAATCAGTATCAAGGTTGCTTCGCCATAGCTTGCTAATAGAATGTAGGTTAAAGAGGCACAAAATGGCCTCTGACACTATACTCGAGGCCAAAGAGTCGAGCGAATCCTTTGAGTAGACTGGGTTCTCTCAATGTAAATGTCTGTTGACAGAGGATATGTTAATCACATGCCACTACAAAATCACTCTTTTAACTATGAGAAGCACATAGGTGCTAATTTAACTACAACCACATGGTAGACCAACCGAATGAGTGATATAAACTCGACAGGTCCGCCGGAAACAGTTCACACGTCTTATGCTTTGCTTATGTGCGCAGGCTGCAAGTAAGGAAGAGAAAATATTGATCTTATGCGTTTTCTAGACAAACCAAACGCGCCAGTTAATGGGCCTAATTAACCATCCAATCAGAAACGACAAAGGAGAAGTTTTGTTCTTTATGTAGCCAATAATCTGTTTGCAATACATTCGTAGGAATTGGATTGGTCAATTCGACCTCCATGTTGGGATGGCCAGTTCAGGCCATCTTGCAAAAAATTAGTTTAACAGGCCTCCCAGATGTCGCGTGTTGGCTCGTTGCTCTCTTCTATCCTCACTATTGTCCCTAACAAATTGCAGCGCCGACTCAGCACCGCTGTCCGATGCATTGAATAATTGCTCTGGTTTGCCATTCCAGTGATAAATCAACATGTCGAGGTTCTCTCACCTTGCACCTTGGTTTATACTTTCGTCTGCAGCGTTGAATGTGATTTTCCTTGGAGGCAAACGGCGTGCTTTTGGTGTTTTCGTAGCTCAGCTCCGTGATGAATTTAACGCCACCTCTTTGGCCGAACTTAATTGGATCGGAGACTCTTACGCGGCTATCGGTTACCTGACGACCACTCTATCCACCTCATTAATCCTCAAACTTGGGCGACGTTATGGCCTCTTTCAATTCGCCGGCGCCTGCTTCGTCCTATTTGCTTGTGTCTCAAGTGCCTATGTCCCCAATCCTCATTGGCTTTTCCTCACACACACCGTCCTCCACGGCATCGGCTCCTCTTTAATACTCAGTACGGCTGGCTTGGTTGTCAACGAGCACTTTGATAAGAGCCACAGGTACCACATTTTGGCGACAACTCTTGTCTCGGGTGGCTCAGTTGCCTCAATTGTTTTTGTACAATTCTACGCTTTCCTTGTCGAGTCGTATGGCTGGCGACACGCGATGATAATTCTCGGTGTTGTGTATTTCTTCGTGATCGCCAGCGCGTCCTTGGTGTTTCGCAAGAGCGTCCAAACAACCGGTGTCTCGGAAGGCAGGTTAGTCCACTCTTGGCGTGAGCATCTGGTGGGCAGGCAGATTCCATTGCTTGTTCTGTGGACTGTTGATCGCATCATCACCAGCATCGTCACTTACGGCATGCTTCTCAATCTGACCGACTTTATGCACCGCATTGAGCCGTCTCTGACGAAGAGCGCAGTTCTCACGACCCTCTTCGCCTCAGGCGAAGCATCAACCTACCTTCTGGGCGCCATGACAACTGGACTGACGAAAAACCTTTTAAAAAACCGACTTAAGTACATTCTCATCGTGACGACGCTTTTAATGTCAGCCAGTCTGGCAGCCTGGGAAGCGTGGGCCAGCAACCTGCTTATGAGCCACATCCTAGCCTACATCTGTGGCTTCTGCCTCGGACCCTCGATCACCTTTCTCTTCCCGGCCGGTGAGGAGATGACTCGTCTGCCAGGCCATCTGGCATATCCCTTCTCTCTTGGTGGCATGGGGCTCGGAATGTCATTGTCTCCGCTCCTCTCCGCCTTGATCGCCCAGATATTCCTCTACAAATGGTTTTTTCTGGTGCAAGCCGGACTAATGGCAATTAAGTTAATCTGTTTGTTGGTCGCCACGTTCATTCTTCACACCTTTGATCGAGCCAACTTCATATTGCCAACACAGGTCTCGCCGGAGCACGTTGGTTACCATCGGGCGTCTGGCATCTCTGGTGAACATAGAGAAAACCCATTGATTTCATCAGGCACTGACGTCTGCGATGCTGGAATTAAGGCAAGCAAACCTACACAATTGCCCTTCAATCTGAAGTATTCTTTCTTCAGTGGCTGTACAGGGAAATTGAGGTGGTCAGCGAACGCCGGAAGACTGATGTCAGATGACGTCGAGAAG